ATTGATGACTCAGGTTCATCTTAGAGTCAACTATGATTCCAAGATCCCTTTCTACTGCTGTGCTGTGGAGAAGGTCATCCCCCAGCCTGTAAGTGTGTCAGTGGTTCTTTTTGCCCAGGTGTAGGACTTTGCACTTGTCTTTGTTTAACTGTATCCTATTTCATTCTGCCCACTTTTCCAGCCACCTGGATCCATTCCCTACCCCCTGGTGTGTTAACTTTGCCCCATAATTTGGTATCATTTGTGAACTTGACAGGGTGCTCTTCATGCTTTCGTCCAAGTCACTGATGAAGATATTGAATAGCACCGGTCCCAGGACTGAGCCTTGCCGGGCTCCACTGCCCACATCTTTCCAGGTCAATATCGACCCATCCACCACCACACTCTGGGTGTGACCCCTAAGCCAATTTGCCACCCACCTGACTGTGTAATCATCTACATCACGGACTGTCAGTTTATTTACAAGAATGGAATGTGATACCGTATTGAAGGCCTTCTTAGCATCTAGGTAGATGACACCTACCTCTATTCCTGTGTCTAAGGATTTTGTGACCTGGTCATAATAAGAAACAAGTTTAATCAGGCAGGATTAACCGGACCTTATCGTGCATCCACAGGTGCATCTCAAGTAGGGCCAAGGAGGTGATCCTCCCCCTCTACGGGACACTGGTCAGGCCACAGCTGAAGTACTGTGTCCAGTTCTGGGCACCCCACTTCAAGAGGGATGTGGACAACATTGAGAGGGTCCAGAGGAGGGCCACCCGCCTGCTCCGGAGACAGCAGGGCAGACCCTACAATGAGAGGCTACGGGACCTGAACCTGTTGAGCCTTCACAAGGGAAGGCTGGGGGGGGACCTTGTGACCGTCTATAAACTCACTAGGGGGGACCAGAAGGCTCCTACCCTGGGGGTCTTTAAGAAGCAGCTTGATGCCTACCTGGCTGGGGTCATTTGAGCCCAGTTTTCCTCCTGCCCAGGCAGGGGGTCGCACTTGAACATCTACAAGGTCCCTTCCGACCCTACTTCTATGATTCTATGATTCTATGATCTACCTGCAATGAAACCATGCTGATTTCCTTTCAGCATTATTTCCCCTGCTGGGATCCCACAAATGTGATCCTTAATTTTGTTTTCTAGAGTTTTACCAAGGATGGAGATAAGACTAACTGTCCTATAGTTTCCCAGTTCCTCCCTCCTCCCCTTCTTGAAAATAGGGACCACATTGGCCCTTTCCCAGTCCTCTGAGACCTGACCAGAGCACCATGAGTGCTCAAACAGCCGTGCCAGCAGCTCTGCTATGACACTTGCCAATTCCTTCAGCACCCTTGGATGAAGATCATCCGATCCCGCTGCTTTGAACACATCCAGCCCCTCCAAGTGCCCCTTCACTAAGTCTGTGCTAACAGTTGGTAGGCTGGTGTCCCTCCTATGTCTATCTATGATCCAACTGGGAGATTTGTCTTGGTCTGTGTCTAGGAATACAGATGAAAAGAACTCATTGAAGAGCTCAGCTTTGTCCCCCCTCTCTGTCACCAATTGCCCTAGTTTGTCCTGTAGGGGTGCTATGCTACCCTGTGCCTTCCTTTTGCTCCCTATATACCTGAAGAAGGACTTTTTGCTGTCCTTAATTTTTATCACCAGCCTCGGTTTGGCCCTCCTCTGACCCCATCTTGATTATAGAGGATGTATATTGCTCCTTAACATAGAGAGCAACACCCGCCCCACCTTTTTCCCCACTCTATCCCATCTGTACAACCTGTAACCCTCAATGTCTACTGCCCATTTGTGAATAGGGTCCCACCAGGTTTCAGTTAGTCCAAACAGGTCTAAGTTGTTGCTTGCAAGCAGGAGTGCAAGTTTCTCCTGGTTGTTCCCCATGCCTCTAGCATTAGTGTAGAGACATTTAAGCCCCCTGATGGGTCCCCTTGGTACCCCCCTGTCCTGATGTCTGTTGGGCCCCTTAGTACTTACCTTAGTACTTGCCTGGACTGATCAGTGCATTGCTCATGGCTCTCTAATCATAGGGTCTCCTTATCCTCTGCTTCCCTATCCCCCAATGAACCTAGTTTAAAGCCCTTCAGAGGAGATCAGCCCATCTTGTCCCAGGATGCCTCTCTCATGGAAGTGCGGATCATGGTTGTAGAAAGATTTTTCTTTGTGCAGCCTTGTCTATCCGTTCTTTCATTGCCTACTCAGAATCTTGTCTGAACCCTATCACTGTCTTTAGATGGTCATTCCACTGTCACTCTGTCTACTCATAACAGCTCAATATAGATTCTTACCTGTGTTGCCTGAGGAAATTCAAGGGGGAGGAGGAAGTTATCATGCAGGCTGGCAATAGATTGGCAGCAGGTCTTCTTGGATTTTCAGAGTTGTCCAATTTTCCCTTTATTCTGTACTGCATATTTACATTCATTCACTCTACAAATATTCTGTGATTTATTTAAATTATTTTGTTGCTCTGAAACTTTTAAAACTGGACTAAACCAGTCCATACACGGCCATAGAAAGTGGCAAGTAGCTCGGATTTATGTTTCAGTGAAAATACAATTTTGGTAGGAGGGATTTCTATATCCTTCCTAAACGATTTGGTGATGTCCCTTGCTATTATCGTGTTTTCTTTTCTCCTTTATTTTATGGTCTTCTCTGACAAGGCTTCTTTTGTTTTTACCACTTAGCAAAGAGCCCTAACAAAAAATATCTATTATAGCATAACTAAATTTAAGGCATGTAGAGCCAAAATCTGTTCCCTTTTGAGCATCTAAATGTCACTTTTCTAAGCATCTACCTGGATGATTTGGAACTACGTTTATACTGCACCTATGTCTATGTAAAGACTGAGCATGCACAGGAGAGTTACACATTGGCTAGATATGGATCTGGCTTGTCCTTCTGGGTCCACATATGTCTCTTTCTTGGCTTCCTAGTACCATGGTGCAAAAGAAATGCTGGAGAAGTGACTGGATAATGCCTGACCTGAGGTATGATAGTTAGAGCACCGTGTTAGGAAGTCTGTGAGATGTAAATGTCTCTGAGTGAAAAGGACCTAGAGCAGGGGCAGGCAATTATTTTGGCTGGAGAGCTGCTTAATGAGCTTTGGCAAGCTCCAAAGACCATCCCTTGGTTGCCATCTTGGGACTGCAAGTCCCACCCCCTAACACCCGACCTTTGCCACTGGAAGTCCTTCCCTTCATTCCAAAAATACTCATTTGAGATGGGGGTTTGCCAGCTTGGAACGGGGGGAAAAATTATATACTAAAAATCAAACATCCACAATAACATATTTTAATTCTATTTTTAAGAAAACTCCAATATTTTTGTCCTGATTTGTGTGTGTTTGTGTTGTGTGTATAGAGGTGATTGCATAATAGCTCAAAATGAATTCTTATTCTTGTATATTGTGGGGGTGTGGAGGGGTGGAGGTATGGGTGGGTGGGTATTGGCTTTGTAGGAGGCTGTGGGTGTGTGTGGATGTGTGTGCATGTGGGGTTTGGGGGTGTGTATGGATGTGGGTATGGGGGGGTTGTGGGAAGTGTGTGGGAATATGTGGGTGTTTCTGGATGGGTATGGGATTTGTGGGTTGTGTGGAGGGAGAGGGTGGCTTGAGGTGTGTGGGGGGATGGGTGCACGTGTGTGTGTTGTGGGGTGTGTGCATGTAGCAGTGAGTGGGGCTTTCCCTGCTTTTTTCCTCACTTTTCTGATCAGACTAGTTGTAAAGTCTGCAAAGGTTCATTTTGCAGTGACTCAAAAACTGGGCCTTCTGCTTTCACCACCCTGCTGTAGCTTGTCCTAAGTCCCTTGAAAATGGCTAAAGCTGGCAACAGAAAGATCACTCAGTGGGATATATGTGAATATGTTCAGACATGAATGTCGTATGCTCCAGGGGGTTGGGGGGGCATGGTGACCGCCCACAGGCAGCAGTGGTGGTGCTGGCAGTGGGGGCATGGCAGTGGTGAGCGGGGAGCTCCCACAGGCAGCTGTGGTCGTGTCGGTGGTGGGAGGGGGGGGGCAGGAAGTGACTGCATGCAGGTGCTGCTGGCAGGGTTGGTGGTGCTTTTCACAGGGGGTGCACTGCCAATCTCAGGGGGTGCATGTGAATCTGCATGCACCCCCTACACATCACCAATGTGTTCAGCCAGTCAAAATGAAGATGCATAAAGAATCTAGACATCCTAGCAGCTTTGTGATTATTGTACAGGGTGAAATTGGATTGCATTTAATTATTTAGCAGCTAAGAACCACAAAACATACCTCTTGGAGGAGGAATGGTATCTGGGCTTATGTGGCTGTGACAAAACCCCAGGGTGTTGGGGTGATCCCAGAGATATACCTTGGGGTTGTGTAAGCTTATTGGTTCCCCACTCTGCTTGAATGGGTGTGCCTAGGTTATTCATTTGCTCAGAAATCATAATTTACCACAGGCACTTTGGTAACATAGCAGAAAAACAAAAGGGCTTATTACAAGGATGAACAAATGGTATGAAAAAGAAAATGATCAAATGCTTTTGAGAGCAGAATATGCTAAAACAAAACTGACAAAATCTTTACCCTCCATGCAGACTGCCACCTAGCCCTCAAAATTCCTGTGAAAGTCTCCCAGGGTCAGTTTCCCCTCAGTCACAGCTTGCTCCCTCCCAGAGACTTCCATTTCCCCTCTCCTCTAGCTCCCCCCCGCCATTCTCTCTAGCCACCCTCTAATGGTTACTACCTCCAGAACATTCCACACAGCTTCTGCCCCTCTCACCTACTTTTAGAGGAGCTAGAGAAGTCTCTAGAGGGTTTCTGCCTGTGGATCTGTTACAGTCCCTGTTTGAATTATTCAAAGATTTCAAATTCCTTACAGAAGGGAACACTTCAGGCAGTGAGTGATCAAATAATTTTCCAAAGTCACAGAAAATAATAAAACCTTTGTTGACTCCAATAGTGAGCCCTTTCCACTAGTCTATGCTGACTCCCCAAATGTATAGCTTATATGTTTTTCTCTTTTGCTCTTATGATTAGGAAGAAGAACACATGTTACTATCCTCACTAAAGCTATTGTACACTGTAGGACATTACTTTTCCCTCATCTCCCTCATATTAGCTCTACTTATACTTCTTCTGCTCAGGTTAGTGTAAACCAATGCTATTACAGAATATGTACTGCATTTTCAAGCTTAATACAATGCACATTCTTTTTAATGTAATTGGGTGTGTCTACACATGCATTTGATCTGGGAGCAGTTTATTCTCAAGTAAAATACTTGAAAGCAAATGCTCTCAGGCAGGCATCTACACATGCAGGGAAGCAGGATCAGATTTGCTGTTCCTAGCAGCAAACTACTTCCGCTTCCTGAGTCCCTGCAATGGGCCTCTGCCACCACCAGAGGGAGGTGGAGGCTCTGGCCACAGCTGGCTGTGGCTGGAGGCCATCTTTAAAGGCAGCCCTGCTCCATGGCCAGATGCTTTTCTGGTGACGAGCGGCATGCAGAGTGTGAGCACAGCACAAAGCAGCTCTGTAACCACAGCCTCTGCCTTCCCATGCTATGGCTGCTCCAGCCCCTGCCCCTGGCAGCAATGGCCAGCACTCCATGCTCCTGATGGCCACTGTGCTGGCCCTGCCGGCTTGCCACAGTGACCTTCATCTGGCCTACATTAGTGGGCTCCCATGGTGTCCTTGGCTGGAGAGGCACAGCGTGTGGTTTCCTTGGGCTGCGGCCCCCGCAAGGTGGAACTGGTGCTGCTGGCAGCTGGTGGTGACATGGCCAGCTTGGCCTTGTGGACGGGTCTGAGGCTGATGAACTGATGGGGCAGGCGCTGGCCCAGGCTCCCGGAGCTGGAGGATGCTGGGGGTGGGAAGCTCGGTGGAATGGGCTGCTGGCAGCACAAGGGGCCCTCCCCCCAGTGATGGGTCACTGTGGGTGCTAGGCCATATCAGAGATTTGGGCATGCCACCCCTGCTGTAGTACACAGCATGGCTGCACCCTGAATCCTGGGGCATGAGGATGGTGTCCAGGTGCGCATAAAGGGCATGGACTTGTCAGCAGTCCCTGATCAATGGTTGTGGTTCATCACAGTGACCCACTTTACCCACAAGGCCTTGACCTTTATGTGGCACTGGCATGCCAACTGTTCATGCCCATGCTCACGCATACGGTCTGATAACCCCTCATAAACATGTGCATTGGAGTGCCCACCGCACATGAGCTGCTTCAGCATCTCAGCCTCACCTCACAGTGCTATGAGGTCCCCAGTCTCCTACAGCAATCAGTTGAGGTCCCGGGAGACAGTGTGTGGCATCAGGGAGGATGCCAGTGTGGCTTCCACAATAGATTTCTGGGCCTCCACGTAGCTGTCCTAGTGCTGCCAGGCCTGAGAAATTGCCTGGAGCACCCAGTGCAGGGGCAGAATGCAGGACTGGAAACTGTGCAGTGAGGCAGTATGAGACAGCATCTGAAGGGTCTAGGCAGACATCTGGGGGGTCTTCTGTGGCCAGATGGAGCTGGCCTTGGTGGTCAGGAGCTGGCTGCAGCTAGGCCCAGGTGCTGGCAGGCCTCTGGGGCTGGACAGCATAGCCCTGGTAGCTGTGCAGCACTATAGTGCCAGGAAGCAGCGCCAGGGTGCAGGCAGGCTGGCTGAGCTGGCCTGCAGCCTGTGCACAGGGACGCAATGGCCACAAGTGACCACAGGATGCCTGCACATGGCTCCACAGTGCCTGCAGGCTTTTAAGGGCTTGGAACTGGGGCTGGGGCTGAGGTTGGGGCTGGCATAGAGCCAGCCCAGCACTGGGCCAGGAGAAGCTCCCAGCCCCAGGGCCCCTAGTGGCTGGGCTGACCAGGAGCAAATTTGCTCCAGGTCATGAGCAAAAGGCAAACATCATAGAGTAGGGAATCTATTTCAAACAGCTGAAAGAGAACAGAGTTATCAGGAACAGCAAACATGGATTCATCAAGAATAAGTTATACTTGAGGAACTTGATCTCTTTCTGAGACAAGATTACAGGCTCTGTGGATGAAGGGAGAGCAGTGGATGTGCTATACATTGAGTTGTGACACTGTCCTCCACAACTGTTTCATTAGTAAGATAAGAAAGTATACACTGAATGAAAGTACTGTAAGGTACTATGGTCCAAAATAACTGATGGAATCATTGTGCTCAATCAGTGGCTTGGAGTCCAGCTGGGATGAATATTGAGTGGAGATTCCCAGGGGTCTGTCCCATTTCTGATGTTGTTTAGTTTCTCCACTAATTTGGAGGATTGGGTTAAGTTCATACTTAACATATTATACCAAGTTGTGTGGAGTTGCAAACATTCTGGAGAATAAGGTTACGATTCCGAATCACCTTGATAAGCTGGACAGTTTGTCCAAAATCAATCAAATCAATCAAATTAAATTTCTCAAAGACAAGTGCAAAGTCCTGCACTTAAATGCACATAATAGAGACTGGGAAATAGCTGGCTAGGTTGCAGTACTCTAGAAAATGATCTTGGGCTTACAGTGGACCACAAGCTGAATATGAGCCAACAGTGTCCTCTTTCTGTGAAAAAAGTCAATAGCCTACTGTACTGGTTTAACAGGATCATCCCTTGAAGTCAAGGGAGGTGATCTGCTCTATTTTGCACTGCTATGGGCAGACCTGGAGTACTGTGTTCAGTTTTGGGCTCTGCATTTCAAGGAAGATATGGATAGATTAGAAAGAGTCCAGGAAAGAACAACAAACATGCTTAGAAGTCTGAGAGGCTGCCCACCAGAGCTTGCCCCGGCACCATGAAGTTCCCTGGCACCGGGAATTCTTAGGCCAGCTCAAGAAGGCAGTTCTTGGCCAGTTTGAGAAGGCTCCTGCTGGGAGGAGCAGTCAGCCAGGTCTGACCCCTCACGTAGGTTCCTAGCTGAGATACAGGACCTCCATTTAACCCAGGAGGTGCACAGTCCCACCAGGAGAAATGCCTTACTGGACCTGGTCCTGGCCACAGGCGATGACCTGGTGAGGGGACTGTGGGTTCTTGACCACCTGGGTGATAGTGATCATCGCCTACTGGAATTCACTATCCAGCGCAGTGTGTCAAAGGCCTGCAACAAGGCAGTAGCCTTTGATTCAGGAGGGCCAATTTCAATGAATTATGGAGATTAGTAGGAGAGGAACTGAGGTCCCAGGGGGTAGGGGAGTTGGGAGTCCAAGATGAGTGGTCGTTCCTTAAGGAGACGATCCTCTGAGCCCAAAGGCTGACAGTCCCAGTGTGAATCAAAGGGGGCAAGAATGCTCAAAAGCCCCCATGGCTCACCAAAGGCATTCAGGAATGTTGGAAAGCTAAAAAGGAGGTGTACACCTGATGGAAGGGAGAGGCTATCACTAAGGAGGATTATATCTCCATTGCTCTAGACTGTAGCGGGGATGTTAGGAAGGCTAAGGCAGAGACAGAACTAGGATTAGTGACCAGGATCAAAGATCACAGGAAGTAAAAAGAAGGCACTGGGTAATGTGGGGCCCCTGCAGGACACGCTTGGCAATCTGGTGGTTGCACCAGATGAAAAAGCTAACCGCTTTAACAAATCCTTTGCCTCCATTTTTCTGAGCAGGAACCTGGACATTTCCCCCACCAGGATTCTGGTGGACTCAGGAGAGGCACCACCAGGCCTAGGGTCAGGGAGGACCTAGTTAGGGAACTTCTGGTGGGGCTGGATGTATTTAAATCAGCAGGTCCAGATGATCTCCAGCCCAGGGTGCTGAGGGAATTGTCAGGGGTCTTTGCAGGGCCCCTGGCATGGCTTTACGAGCACTCGTGGTGCTCTGGCCAGGTGCCAGAGGACTGGGAAAAGTCCAATGTGGTCCCAATTTTTAAAAAAGGGAGGAAGGAGGACCCAGGTAACTATAGGCCTATTAGTCTTACCTTGGTCCTGGGGAAGCTCTTTGAGAAAATTATCCAGGAGCACATCTGGGAGGGACCAGCAAGGGAGATTATGCTCAGGGGCAACCAACATGGGTTCATTAGGGGCAGGTCCTGTCAGATGGACCTGGTCACCTTTTATGATCAGGTCACAAAATCCTTGGATGCAGATGTTGCAGTGGACGTAGTCTTTCTGGACTTTAGGAAGGCCTTTGACACTGTCTCTCACCCCATTCTCATTAAAAAGCTAGGCGACTGGCATTGATGCCTACACAGTCAGATGGGTCGCAAATTGGCTAGAGGGCCTCACCCAGAGAGTGGTTGTGGACAGGTCATTTTCAACCTGGAGGGATGTGGGCAGTGGAGTCTCCCAGGGCTTGGTCCTCGGGCCCATAATGTTCAACATCTTTATCAGCAACTTGGACAAGGGGACGAAAAACACTTTATTCAAGTTCGCGGATAACACTAAGATGTGGAGAGAAGTGGGCACACTAGAAGGGAGGGACAGGATACAACTAGATCTGGACAGGTTACAGGGGCGGGTCGATGAGAATAGGATGGGATTCAATAGTGACAAGTGCAGGGTACTGCACCTAGGGAGAAAGAACCAGCATCATACCTATAGGCTAGAGAGCTCCCTTCTCATCAGCACAAAGGCAGAAAGGGATCTTGGAGTCATTATTGATTCCAAGATGAACATGGGCCGCCAATTTGAGGATGCAGTCAGTAAGGCTAACCACACCTTGTCATGCATCCATAGATGCATCACAAGCAGGTCCAAGGAGGTGATCCTCCCCCTCTATGTGACATTGGTCAGGCCACAGTTGTAATACTGTGTCCAGTTCTGGGCATCGCACTTCAGGAGGGATGTGGCCAGCATTGAGAGGGTCCAGAGGAGGGCCACTCACATGGTCAGGGGGCAGCAGGGCAGGCCGTATGAGGAGAGGCTATGGAACCTGAACCTGTTCAGCTTCCATGAGAGAAGGCTGAGAGAAGATCCGGTGGCTATCTATAAACTTACCGGGGGGAGCAGCGGGGAATGGGAGAGGCCCTGCTCCCCTGAGCACTACCTGGAGTAACTAGGAATAACGGCCACAAGTTGATTGAGAGTAGGTTCAGGCTAGACATCAGGAAGCACTACTTCACAGTCAGGGCAGCTAGGATCTGGAACCAACTTCCAAGAGAAGTGGTGCTCACTCCTAGCTTGGAGGTCTTCAGAAGGAAGCTAGATAATCACCTAGCCGGGGTCATTTCATCCAAGCATTCTTTCCTGCCCGTGGCAGGGTGTTGGCTTGATGATCTGCTCAGGTCCCTTCTGACCCTATCAACTATGAAACCAGCAGGAAACAATCTCCCAGGACCTGTTCCAATTGCAGAGCTGGGGCTGGGAGCTCCAAGAATGGGAAGAGTTCCCTGCCTAGACTGGGGTAGGCTGGGACTTGCCCCAGACTATGATAGTTCCAAGCCAGACCAGGGCTTCACAGGGAAGTCTGCATGTGCAGCCTGAAGTTTGCTGGGAACTGCCTCAAATGGGACGGTCCCCAGCTAGCTCCAGGCTGTATTTGCAGACTTCCTTATGCTGCCCAGGGCTGGATGGAAAAAATCCTGGTCTGGGACAGGTCCCAGCCCCAGAGCTCTTTCCCAGCCCTGTGCCTTAATTAGGTGATCAAGGCACGGGGCTTGGAAACAGCTGTGGGGGAGGGGCAGGTCCCACCCTTGGCCCTGATCTGCAGGTGGGACAGCTACCAGTGAGCCCCTGGCTGGGCAGGGAACCCCAGGGTGAGTTTACTCTGTGGTAAATTAGGTTGAATATTTGAAAGAACTTTTTTACCATGAGGGTATTTACTCATTTTTGGGTGCATCTACATGAGATGCATTAATGCTAATTAACCTAATTTACTGTGCAGTACAGGCACATGTCATCATGTACTTGCTCTTACTGTGCAGTAAAAGTGGCTAATCACACCTAATTTTGATGCCTGCAAATACAGGTATCAAGTGTAGGTGTGATTAGTTAGAGCACATTAGCATATTAGCACACATGTAGATATGATCCAGCACTAACTTTAGTGCTGGGTCTGCCTAGCCACCCAGATCTCCTGACTGAGCGCCTGTCCTGCCCAAGGGGCTGGGATGCTCTTCAGCAGCCCCTACCTGCAGGCTATAAAAGCCTCCAGCCACTTTGCGCCCTGAGGCACACACACCAGGACATTGGAACGCTGGAGGCTCTGTGTACCCCCTGGACAGGATCCAGGCTGCTTCTGCCAGTCCTGTCCCCTAGCCAGAGTTCCTGCTTGGCTACAGGTGAGTGTCAGAAAGAGGCTGCAGCCTGCTGCTCCCCCTGCTGAGCCTGACATCTCCCCAGTGCTGCAGGGCCTCTGGCAGCAGGGCCAGCACCTGCTCCGTGCTGCTGCTCACCCCCCAGCACTGTCCCCTGTCCTTGAAAACACTGTGGTGAAGTGCCTCTGCCATATTATTCCCAGTCCCTGGCTGTGTCCCTCTACTGAGCACTGCTGGCCATTGTGCAACACAGGGACAGCTGTGCAGGGGCCCATCTAGAACACGATGCACCGCCATGTTCTCCCTGTCCTCCCCATTGAGAACTGGCCCCACCCATGTGTACACTTCCAAACTTTCCTCCCAGGGCCACAACTGGAGCCAAGAGGAGGTTGGAGACCTTGTGGCCTTCTTGGGGGGTGCGGAGGTCCAGAGGCAGTTTGTGCATGGGGGAGCTCAAACACCCATATTTATGAGGCCCTGTCAGGCAGGATGCGCTAGTGAGGGCACTCCTGGGTGGCACAGCAGTGCTGCATAAAGATAAACACCTCGTGGGCACAGTGGGTGGCTGTGACCGACCACAATCATTGGTTTGGTCATGCCCACAAGACCATGCCCTTTATGTGGGAACTGATAACATTTTGGCACCCCAGGACCCAGGCCATAACCCTGCAGTGTTCACCATCAGGGGTGGCCTGGCCAAGCCCCCGCCCCACTCTGACCTCTCCAGTGGTGACACCTCTCTAGAGGAGAAGCCCTGAGGTGTTCTGCACCCTGCCTTGTCCATCTTCCCAGCTGCTGCACCACTAGCAGCTCAGGGAGACGTGGCCAGCAGCTGCCCAACAGCCATGCACCCCCAGACCCCGCTATGAGGAGTGGCCAGCCATGACACCACCGGCCACCACCAGCACCAGCCCCTCCCTAGAAGCTGCTCTGGTTGGATGCCAGCCCACTGCAGACTGTGGTCCAAGGACACTGGGTGCAGCCGGACACCATCACCAACAGGGAAGCCCATGCCAAGCTGCCAGCCTCACCAGTCCCTGACACATGGTAAGTCTCACATTGGGGGAAGGAGAGCCCTCCAAGGCCCCATTCCTGCGCTTGTCCCTCGCTCCCAGGCCCCCTCTGGTCCCTCGCTCCCAGTCCCTGCTTCTGCCCCTGTCTCCCATCCTGGTCCCTGACCCTGCTCCTGCTTCTGCTCTTGGCCCTGGTTCCAGCTTCTGCCCCTTCCCCATCTCTGGCCCTGGCTCCTGTCCCCCTTCCCACCTACACTCTCTCTGGCCCTGGGTTTTCCCCACCCACCCACAGCACGCAGAGGTGGAAAACAGTTCAAAAATGTACTGAGCAGCCTGTGTCCCTGCATCTGGGTAGGCATGGACCTTTCACACCCCAAGGAAGGGATCAATGCCAGTGGCAATGTCCTCCTCAGGATCTGGGGGCAGGGAAGCATAGCATTACCACAGGTAGCCTTCCAGGTGCTGGCAGAGGTTGTGGAGCAGCTTGGGCTTGCTCCCTGCACTTTCAGAGCTCAGGGTCTAAAACCATGAGTGCAAGTGTGCCCAGGGCACCAGGAGGATCATCAGCAGCAGGGCATAGTGGCTTGGGCACCCCTCAGCCTGCACAAACAGCTCATTGCACACCACCTGGGGCACATGCAGAAGGGATATGCTTGGGGTACAGAGGTGACATGGGGGGTGGGGGAGCTGGCCCCAGGGCACTTCCCTGGAGAGGTCCCCAGCAAGGAGGGTGAGAATGTGGCCAGTCCCTTGCCCCATGCATGGCTGACCCCGCATCTGAGGCTGGGCAGTGCACAGCCCCTGGTGTAGAGCATCTTATTTCTGAAATGTTGCAAACTTTCACAAAAGGCTTCTGTCTCTCGCCTCTGCAGGGCCAACATCTGGATCCAGGGGAGAGCCCACCAGCCCCAGCAGAGATGTGGCCTCTGGACTGCTGCCGCCCAGTGCTGGAGCCATAAAGATGCACTGGCTGGGCCAGCAGTGCACACAAGACTGGAACCTCTTGCTCCAGCACCTGATCTCGGTCTCCCACCACCCAGCTTCCTCACCTGGTCACAGGCCCACTGCTCACCCTGGCTCCATGTGGGTGCAGAACCAGAGCAGCCAGCAGTGGGGACAGGACCCCACACCAGCCTTGCTGGCTATGGGCAGCCCCCAGGAGAGTGGGAGGCACCCACACCAGAGGACCAGCAGCCACTGTCTCCTCAGAGGAAGCCCTCTATCCACTACACTTGCTGCCACAATTGTACCAACAGGGGAAAAAATGAGGCCAGAGTGCTGGGCACCTGTCCCCAGGATTTGAGCCATAGGTGCTCCCACCCCACGGCCTCTCACTTTGGGACTCAGATAGAGACTGAAACTATTGTAAATAGTTTGCACTTTGGGAAGCAGGTTTTTTATCGTTGGTGTGTGGGGAGGCTGGTGGAGGGGCTCTGTTAGTTGATGAGGGAGAGGAAGTGGCTCAGTGTGTTGGGGAACGAGGGTGAGAGGGCTGTATGTGGTGAGGGTGGAGGGATGAGGGCGGATGTTGTGAGAGTAATAAAGTTTTTTTTTAAAACAATGTGTGTGTCCTGAGAGTGGTGCTGGGGGTGGGCTGGGGGTAGGGAGGTTGTGTAGGTAGCGGGGCAGGTGGGCTGGAGTGGGGAGTGCAGGAGGAGGGGTTTGATCAGGGTCTCCTGCACCTGGTGCCCTAGCCCCTGCTGGCGTATGCATGGCTCCTGGGCAGGAAAAGGGCTGGCCAGGGAGCAGTGTGGGGATGTGTTTCCAAGATGGCTGCCAAGTGCTGGCAGCTGGCTCTGGCTTCAACATGGCTGCTAAGTGCTGGCAGATATGTGACTGGAGGCTGGAGCTCCCTCTAGTGGCCACAGGGGCACATGGCAGGCCTGGAGGGACTTGGCATGAGATTTAGTGTCAAGTCACTGCTGTGTAGACACCTGCCAAAAATTGCTTACTGTGTATTAGCTGAATGCACAATAAATTTAATCACGCTTAAATGCATGTGGCATGCCCAGTATAAGCCAAAGAGGTGGTGGAATATCCATGCATGGAAATTTCCAAGAGAAGGTTATACAAACACTGAATTATGATGATTTAGTTAGGGATGATCTTGCCTTGAGCAGGGGTTTGGACTGGATGAGCTCTTGAGGTCCCTTCCAGTCCAACTTTCCTCTGATCTATGTATACAATATTATTGTATATCATTTCTAATCAGGGTAATAATTAAAGATTCACAGACAGATATGTTTCTCTTTTGTACTTCCACAGAAAACTTCATTGCACTAGAAACTACATCCATATGAATTTATTTGCTTCATTTATATTGCGAGCCATAGCTATTCTTATTAAAGATGCCATTTTCTACAACACCTATTCAAAAACACCTAATGATGAAACTGGATGGCTATCCTACATCAATTCTGAGGTAATGCTTTGTTAATCCATTAATGGAATGAAATTAATAAGCAGCTTGGAGGAGAATGCTGTTTAAAATGGTAGAGACTTTGGGTAACCCCCAGAATACTCTGCTCCTTGAAAACCCAGAAGCAGAGGTCCAGGTACCCCTCCCAGGGAATGACTTCTTAAGGCAGTAGAGCACCAGGCCCCCAGGGATGGAGAAGTAAGGGCCAAGGTAGTGCCCCCCAGCCAACTAGCCACCCCTTTACCCCCAAATCAGCCTGTGATGCAGCAAACCCTATACAGTGCCAAGAGTTGATATAAATTGCTGGGTTGCTTGAGGAAAAGTGTTCTTTAAAAGCCACAAAAGCTCTGAGAGCCCCAGAGCACCTAGATTCTGGGAACCCACAAGCAGGGGTCTATGCAGTCCCTTTCTCTTCATCACTATACACCTAGGTACCTCTAGTCAGTACACCACCACACAGATTTTAGTAAAGTGTAGGAAAGGTCTCTATTAAACCGAGTTGTTCTTTATTGAATTAAATGTTAGCAAGAAGGGGGATCAAAAAAATTGCAGTACAGGCAATTGGCATCTTCTTCTTCTTCCCCAGTGTCCATGTGGCAGTGCACTGTTTGCGCCTGCTACTTTAAGAACATCAGTTAGGCTGTAGAGTAGCCAGCAGGTGAGTTCAGGCCCAATTAGACAGTCACATAACCACAGATGGCTGCCTGATTGTAGGAGGGCTGGGCAAGGAGTTTATAAGCCCAGACCCTGGAAGCAGCCAGCAGTTACATCTAGAAACCTGAAGGAACAACATGTCCTAGTCAAAAGACAGCAGCTCCTAGAACATCTGGAGGTTAGGGTAGGGAATATGGGGATGGAGGAGGTTCCTGTTGGCCCAGGGTAAGACCTGAAACTACAGCCTACTGTGGCTGGATTGTGTGGTGGGGCTGCCTGTAGTAGAGCAGTCTCCAAGAAATGCCACACATGTGCCTCCCCAATGAAAGGTGAGGATGGGACACCAGAAAGCCCCAGCTCCCACTGCCTTGTTGGTGACCTTGTGGAGGGGAAAGGCTAGGGGAGCACACCCTGAAAGAAAAGCACCCAGCAGCAATGCCACCAGGACCCTGGGGTGGTCCCAAGTGGGGCCAAGGCCCACTAACTGGGGCCTGAGGACCGATTAGAGTGGCCATCATAGAGGACAGTCCAGTTGTCCTCTGTCCTCTATTGATATGAAACTGGACGTCTTTATGTCCTCTATTTTTCTCTTGAAAAGAAAAAAATAGGACGTAAAGGCATCGGATTTTGTATCAATAGAGGACAGAGTAGCAGAAAACTGGAATCTCCTCTATGATGGCCACCCTAGGCCCAATGGGTGAAAGGCCCAGAGAAAAGGCCCAGAACAGGGGGCAAAGTATGACCCAGTGAAGGGCAGAGTGATCCTGAAGGGCTGTGCAGAGTAGGGCCTGACCAGAGAAAGAGTGGCCTAGTGAGAGGCAGAGAGTGGCTCAGTGAGGGGTGGAATGGTATAGCCCAGAGTAGGGGCCAGGAGGCCACATTCAGGTCAGAGGCTGAGTGCAGTCCAGCAAAGTGGCTGGGGGAATGGTAGGAGATTTTGGATACCATTTGTGAGGCATGGGACATGGTATAGGGATGGTTTGGGGCTGTGTAATTGGCCCAGAACACCAGGGCCCCAAATGGGCGGCCTCCTGCATTTTTACATGAACTCATTTGACATCAAAGGCATGGCAGACAAGAGCAGGGCAGACTGCCTTAAACGGGGGGCGAGGGGGCATCAATATCTTTGGGGTGCCTGGGGATCCCCTCCCCCGCTGTTACAGTCCAGCTGATCAGAGTCTTTCTTCCCTGTTCAAGGAATTCCTGGGGCAGTCACCAATAGCAATTGTGCTGAGCTGGTTATTCATTACCAGTCCTTGGTCATAGTTTGACAACACTGCAATGTCTAAATGATGTATAATAGTGTATATGCAGATACCTCTAAACCAGAACAGTGGTGTTCCAGCTCCCAAGCAGGGACATTCTTGGAACAGTTCAAGTGTTAGGTCTGTACATAGTATTGTTTGCCATTGATAAACACAAAATATATGATATTACACCAAAAAACCTTTTTGACCAGCAATTAAATTTGACAGGCATAATGTGATAGGAGAGGAAAGAAAAGGTGAACACTTGAAGGGGTTATCAATATCTATATTATAAAATGTTTCTTCTGTACATATACTTACCTATATATAAATTTTGGACTTCAGTACGTAGATAAAGTTACACCAGCGTAGAAGTACTTATGTGAGTCTAGCTTATTTCAATTTAGGAAGTAAAATAATTTGTATTTGTATAAGTCAACTTTTACCATAAATTATATTCATAATAGACAGGCAAGATACCTGAGGACTAGAAAGGGTCAACATAGTATTCCTCTTTAAAAACGGCAAACTAGAGTATCTGGGGAATTATAAACCAATTAGCCTTACTTTGATACCTGTGAAGTTACTAGAGTATATCATAAAGAAGTCCATTTGCAAGCATCTGGAGAAGGAAAGGGTGATCACAAAGGCCTCCAGCATGGATTTACTATAAGTAAATCAAGTCAAACAAATTTGATTTCTGTCTACAACAGGATGGTTGAAGGGGATGTAGTGGATATAGTATATCTGGATGTTAGCAAAGATTTTGACAGTTTGACATGATCTTCTCATAAACAAATTAGAGAAAACTACTACAAGGTAGAGACATACCTGGCTACATGGCTGCAAGCAAAGGGTGACTATAAACAGAACCATGTTGGAATGGCAGGAGGATTTAAGTGGAGTTCCAGAGGGGTCTGAGTCCAGTGCTATTCAATGTCTTTATTAATTATTTGGATGCTGGCATAGAAAGCTTCTTGAACAGATTTGGAGATGACAAAAACTTGGAAGGATTGCAAACATGCTGGAAGCCAGAAGTGCAATTCAGAAGGATCTTGACAGATTGGAAAGCTGGGCTGGAGCTAACAGGATGGAATTCAATACTGACAAATGCAGTATTGAAGGTGGTGTGTGGGTGGAATTAAGGTACTGAGTGTAAGTTACTGCAGTGTTGATATTTCTTTAGCTTTTACCTGTTCCCTCCCTTTGACCTGTTGGCTTATAACTCCTATGATTTTCTATATAAAACTGGGAACTCCCCTGTGTTTCTTGTGCCAGTTTCTGGGCCTGCAGGGTTGGCACAAAATGGTGGTAGTAGTGGGATTCTGAAGCAGAGGAGGGGCTATTGCACAAATGAAGCAAATGGAAATTGGTAGTCACAGGTCCTAAGGCACAGGGCAAACTGCTGTATTGAGTGTATAGATTGTGTTTGTTCTGTGGGCATTTGATCAGAGAAAATGAACAACATGGAGGAGAACATACCCCCAGGGGGAGCAGAACCCCCCCCGCCCCCCCATTTTGATCATGGAAGATGAATACCATAGAAGAGAAGGTACCCCCAGGGGGAGAGGAACCTCCCCACCCCATCCAGTGTCTCAAGGCCTATATTCAATCCAGCACCCTATAGGGGGGGAGCAACAAGAATGGGATGAGCAATTTGAAATGGCAGCTGAGTTAAATTCAGGGGTGATGCATAGGGGGTACACGAGGGTGCATGTGCACCCCCTGAGCGTGGCGGTGCCCCCCCTACAAAAAGGTGCCACTGACACTGTCAGCAGTGCCTGCAGGCAGTTGCCGCTCACCACCCTGCCACTGACATCACCGGCAGCATCTGTGGATGGTCCACAATCCCCGCTGGCTGCTGCTGTCGCTGCATCGTTCATGGTTAAATGGGTGGAATGAGGCCATTAAGCTAAAATTCCTGAGCCTTTTGCTCACAGAGAAGGCCAGGGAAGTCTACTGTGCACTCAGCAGTGAAGCCAAACAGGATTACAAGCACCTGACAGGAATCCTCAGGAATGCTTTGGAACCAAGTGCAGGTCCTAACCGGGACCATGCAGCTCTACTTAACTGTAAGCAGACTTCAACAGAGTCAGTGTAAGAGTTTGGCGTTGCCATAAGATGATTAGCTGTAAAGACCTTCCCACAAGGTGCAAGACCTATTGGACTGTGATTAGTTCGTCAGCAATGCATTCAGTGGAGAGAAGCATGTCCAGCTTCAGTTGGGGAAGCCCCATAGCCCGGAGGATGCCATAAAGCTAGCCACTGAGATGGAAGTGGTGAGAAAACTGGTAGCCCTAGGTCTCCAGGGTACACATGCATGACAGGGAGGAAAAGTCAGGAGCACACACCCCAACCCCAGAGTCCTCAGACTTGCAAACAATAATGGAGACATTGAGAGACATGTGAAGTGAACTGGATCAGCTCAAGAAGGCTATGAAAACTCAGTCTCAGAGCAGACATACAAGAGGAGATTCTTATGGACCACAGCAGCTCCTTCTGGGACTAAAACCCTGAGGTTCCTGTCTAAAGGGTCTTGCCCTTGCACTCAGGGTCAAACCACTTGCCAAATTTGGTCAGATTGGTATGGACTTTGGGGAGGGAGGGGTGGTTGCCTTCTGCCATTTCCTTGGATCCCTTGGAGCATATGTGTGGTTTTAGGAATAGTTTAGACATGGAGTTGCATGAGATGGTTTGGATAGAAAAGATCCTGCCTCAGGCAGTGTGTTGGACTAGATGACTTTCAGAGGTCCCTTCCAGTCCTACTTTTCTATGATCCCATGAAAATGCAAGACATACCATAGGTATCCTCTAGAGAATGATCAGAGGCATTTCCATGTGATAAGGATGGAGAAGAGAATAAAACAAAGAGTACACACGGGAGGATATCCCAGTGACATCTCTGCATGAAGACCTCAGAAAAATATTGACAAATAGAAATCAAAATAACATTGCGGACGTTGGATGAAGCATCTCTGGAAGATTTTGCTGTACTTCAGTCCCTTAGCAAGAGCACAGAGTGGGAACTATTGCATTCTGTTAGACTGGCCACAAAACCATGAAAGCTGGGAGTAACCAGCTAATTCCAGTGGTGCTCTCTTC